CCTTAGATTGTATAATCCTGGAGGGTTAGGGACTGATGTGAATGTACAATACATATATATGTAAAGTGCTGTGTAAATTTACAGTGCTCTATAAGTACCTGTAATAATAATAATATATGTATACTTAGACGAAAAAGGTAACAAAAAACAAAACAAAAAAAAAAGGGCAGACTCAATGGGCCACTTGTTTTTTTCTGCCGTCACTTCACGGTACAGTCTGCCTGGCCTTTTTTTGTATTACTTACACACAGAAGCCTTGAATACCTACAGTAGCTGGAAATCTGCAAAGTAATAAGACACGAGCTCATACCGACTGGTTCACGTCTTTGCAGGTTGAATTTTCCTGGTGAATTTTGCATTTCTGATGCATTTCTTACACTTTTTTATGTTTTTGGAAGGTGTTTGTTGTCTTGTGGGAGAAACCACCAAATATGCAGCAGAAACGCATCATATATGCAAGCACTGCATTTTTTATGCGTTTCCGCTGCATTTCCATTGAAGTCTATGGAAGCAAAAATGCAACCTGCTGCGGGAAAAAAATTCCCTGACCCTTTCCACAAATGTGACCGTGATCCATAAGAAATCATGTTGAATGAACTATATAATGCAGCAGACTTAAATAAATAAATTATGATGAAAACTGAAAGTCCAGAAATAGTCCAAAAATAATCCAACAACATGTGAAAGGAGATCCAAGTAGCTTAGATTCCAGAGGGGTCGATGATGGATTCCAGATATTCCTCATACACCTCAAATAAAACAAAACCTAAACATAGTGTATTATCCTAGGATAACATAAGTGTGCCACTCGTGCTACATGCAAAATAAACACAAGTGCCAAAGCAATCGTGAACATAAAACTAAATAAAATGAACTCACTGCACACGGTAAGGTAAAAATGCATAATTACCCTAAGGTAAACATGGAGCTTCATCAAAATGCCATATGCTTCTCTGGATACTCTTCCACAGACCTCATAGACAGATCAGGGGTCAGTATTATGATCAAGTAAAAACACAATTTATTGTATCAACTTACATAGAAGAAGGCTGAAATTGGCATCCATAATGGGAGAAATAAAAACTACAATCGGCGTCCACATAGAAATAGGAAAGTCTTAAAGCTACCTCCAATAGTGATAAATGGAAGTCCTCAGGGATAGGAACAGCCACGTGTATTAGATCCCTGTTGAAAAAGTCCGGATGTGACGAAACGCGTCCGGGGCATGTGATGTAGTGACGCACTGATGTTTCTGGAAGTGCTTCAGCGGCCATTTTGGGTTCTGGTACATGCGGCTGTTCCTATCCCTGAGGACTTCCATTTATCACTATTGGAGGTGGCTTTGAGACTTTCCTATTTCTATGTGGACGCCGATTGTAGTTTTTATTTCTCCCATTATGGATGCCAATTTCAGCCTTCTTCTATGTAAGTTGATACAATAAATTGTGTTTTTACTTTATCATAATACTGACCCCTGATCTGTCTATGAGGTCTGTGGAAGGTTTTGTTTTATTTGAGGTGTATGAGGAATATCTGGAATCCATCATCGACCCCTCTGGAATCTAAGCTACTTGGATCTCCTTTCACATGTTGTTGGATTATTTTTGGACTATTTCTGGACTTTCAGTTTTCACCATAATTTATTTATTTAAGTCTGCTGCAGTATTATTATTATTATTATTACATCGAGTTTATATAGCGCCAAAGGGTTTGCTCAGCGCTGTACAATAGGGGGGACAATACATGGCACAGTACAACAAAGACAGACAGCGTACGAGGGGTAAGAGGGCCCTACTCTTTCAAGCTTACAATCTAGGAGGGAGGGGGTAGTGGAACAATAGGAAGTGGCTGAGGGGAATGAAGTGGCTGAGGGGGATGAAGTGGTAGAAGGAATGAGGGAGAAAGGCCATTAGGTGAGGGTGGAATAGGCTTCCCTGAAAAGATGGGTTTTGAGGGAGCGCCTGAATGTGGGGAGGGAAGGCGACAGTCGGATGGATTGGGGCAGTGAGTTCCAGAGGATAGGGGAGGACCTGGAGAAGTCCTGCAGTCGTGCATGGGAGGAGGATAGAAGGAGGTCCTGTGAGGAGCGAAGGGTACGGGTAGGGTGGTACTTGGGGATCAGGTTGGTGAGGTAGTTAGGGGCAGTGTTATGAACGGCTTTGTAGGTCAGGATTAGAATATAAATTTGATGCGTTGGACAATCGGGAGCCAGTGGAGGGAGAGGCAGAGGGGGGTGGCAGAGGTGGAGCGGATGGTGAGGTGGATGAGTCTGGCCGCTGAGTTCAGGATGGTCTGGAGCGGGGAGAGTCTGCACTTGGGTAGGCCAGTGAGAAGAGAGTTGCAGTAGTCAAGGCGTGAGATGATGAGGGAGTGTACAAGAAGTTTGGTGGTGTCTGGGGTGAGGAAGGCACGTATCTTGGCAATATTGCGGAGATGGAGCCTGCAGGTGTTTGCAAGTGATTTGACATGAGGGAGGAAGGAGAGGTTCGAGTCAAGAATGACGCCAAGGACTTTGGCTTGCGTGGCGGGAGTGATAGTGGTGTTGGTGGTGGTGATGGATAGGCTGGGGGGGGGGTGTGGGCAGGTGGAAAGACGAGGAGTTCGGTTTTGGAGAGGTTAAGCTTGAGGAGATGGAGCGACATCCAGTCAGAGATGTCGTTTAGGAGGTGAGTTATATAGTTATTGTTCCTTCAGGGTGAAGTATTGTATAGGCTGACTTGTTTTGCCATCTTTTAGGGTATAGGGCAGTGATGGCGAACCCGTGGCACGCGTGCCACAGCCGGCACGCCGAGCCTTATCTGTGGGCACGCCAGGAGAATCCAGCGGCGCGCTGTCTTCCCGGCTGTAGTGTGCGTGACAGCCGGGTCCCAAGTGCGCATGCACAAGAAGCAGTGCTCTTTGTGAATGGTAAGGCGGTACCTGGGACACATGACAGATCCCAGAAGCCGCCGGACCAATCACAAAGCGCAGCGCTTCTCGCGCATGCGCACTGGGCTTCCGGCTGTCCGACGAGCGCGCACACTACAGAAGCCAGGAAGACAGCGCGCGGCTGGATAAAGGAACAGGTAAGATAAAAAAAAAAACTCTGCGGAAGTAAGAGCGGGTACCTGTCAAATTCAGGTACCCGCCCCCCCCTCCCTCCCCAAAGGTCAGCAGTCATCCCTGTGCTGTCCGCAGTCTCTGGTCATCCCTGTGCTGTCCGCAGTCTCTGGTCATCCCTGTGCTGTCCGCAGTCTCTGGTCATCCCTGTGCTGTCCGCAGTCTCTGGTCATCCCTGTACTGTCCGCAGTCTCTGGTCATCTCCTGTACTGTCCGCAGTCTCTGGTCATCCCCTGTACTGTCCGCAGTCTCTGGTCATCTCCTGTACTATGTCCGCAGTCTCTGGTCATCCCCTGTACTGTCCGCAGTCTCTGGTCATCTCCTGTACTGTCCGCAGTCTCTGGTCCTGTATCCGCAGTCTCTGGTCATCCCCTGTACTGTCCGCAGTCTCTGGTCAGTCCTGTACTGTCCGCAGTCTCTGGTCATCCCTGTGCTGTCCGCAGTCTCTGGTCATCCCTGTACTGTGTCCGCAGTCTCTGGTCATCCCTGTACTGTGTCCGCAGTCTCTGGTCATCCCTGTACTGTGTCCGCAGTCTCTGGTCATCCCTGTACTGTGTCCGCAGTCTCTGGTCATCCCTGTACTGTGTCCGCAGTCTCTGGTCATCCACTGTCCGCAGTCCTGTCATCCCTGTACTGTCGCAGTCACTGGTCATCCCTGTACTATGTCCGCAGTCTCTGGTCATCCCTGTACTGTCCGCAGTCTCTGGTCATCTCCTGTACTTTCCGCAGTCTCTGGTCATCCCTGTACTGTCCGCAGTCACTGGTCATCCCTGTACTGTGTCCGCAGTCTCTGGTCATCTCCTGTACTGTGTCCGCAGTCTCTGGTCATCCCTGTACTGTCTGCAGTCTCTGGTCATCCCTGTACTGTGTCGCAGTCTCTGGTCATCCCTGTACTGTCCGCAGTCTCTGGTCATCTCCTGTACTGTCCGCACTGGTCATCTTCTGTACTGTTCGCAGTCTCTGGTCATCTCCTGTACTGTGTCCGCAGTCTCTGGTCATCCCTGTACTGTGTCCGCAGTCTCTGGTCCTGTACTGTGTCATCTCTGTCACTGTGCTGTCCGCAGTCTCTGTCATCCCTGTCTGTCCGCAGTCTCTGGTATCCCTGTGCTGTCCGCAGTCTCTGGTCATCCCTGTGCTGTCCGCAGTCTCTGGTCATCCCTGTACTGTCCGCAGTCTCTGGTCATCTCCTGTACTGTCCGCAGTCTCTGGTCATCCCTGTGCTGTCCGCAGTCTCTGGTCATCCCTGTACTGTGTCCGCAGTCTCTGGTCATCCCTGTGCTGTCCGCAGTCTCTGGTCATCTCCTGTACTGTGTCCGCAGTCTCTGGTCATCTCCTGTACTGTGTCCGCAGTCTCTGGTCATCCCTGTACTGTCCGCAGTCTCTGTCATCCCTGTACTGTGTCCGCAGTCTCTGGTCATCCCTGTACTGTCAGCAGTCTCTGGTCATCTCCTGTACTGTCCGCAGTCTCTGGTCATCTTCTGTACTGTTCGCAGTCTCTGGTCATCTCCTGTACTGTGTCCGCAGTCTCTGGTCATCTCCTGTACTGTGTCCGCAGTCTCTGGTCATCTCCTGTACTGTCCGCAGTCTCTGGTCATCTCCTGTACTGTCCGCAGTCTCTGGTCATCCCTGTACTGTGTCCGCAGTCTCTGGTCATCCCTCTACTGTGTCCGCAGTCTCTGGTCATCTCCAGTACTGTGTCCACAGTCTCTGGTCATCCCTGTACTGTGTCCGCAGTCTCTGGGCATCCCTGTACTGTGTCCGCAGTCTCTGGTCATCCCTGTACTGTGTCCGCAGTCTCTGGTCATCCCTGTACTGTCCGCAGTCTCTGGTCATCCCTGTACTGTGTCCGCAGTCTCTGGTCCCTGTACTGTGTCCGCAGTCTCTGGTCATCCCTGTACTGTCCGCAGTCTCTGGTCATCCCTGTACTGTGTCCGCAGTCTCTGGTCATCCCTGTACTGTGTCCGCAGTCTCTGGTCATCCCTGTACTGTGTCCGCAGTCTCTGGTCATCCCTGTACTGTGTCCGCAGTCTCTGGTCATCTCCTGTACTGTGTCCGCAGTCTCTGGTCATCCCTGTACTGTGTCCGCAGTCTCTGGTCATCCCTGTACTGTGTCCGCAGTCTCTGGTCATCCCTGTACTGTGTCTCGCAGTCTCTGGTCATCCCTGTACTGTGTCCGCAGTCTCTGGTCATCTCCTGTACTGTGTCCGCAGTCTCTGGTCATCCCTGTACTGTGTCCGCAGTCTCTGGTCATCTCCTGTACTGTGTCCGCAGTCTCTGGTCATCCCTGTACTGTGTCCGCAGTCTCTGGTCATCCCTGTACTGTGTCCGCAGTCTCTGGTCATCCCTGTACTGTGTCCGCAGTCTCTGGGCATCCCTGTACTGTGTCCGCAGTCTCTGTCATCCCTGTACTGTGTCCGCAGTCTCTGGTCATCCCTGTACTGTCCGCAGTCCTGTCATCCCTGTACTGTGTCCGCAGTCTCTGGTCATCCCTGTACTGTGTCCGCAGTCTCTGGTCATCCCTGTACTGTGTCCGCAGTCTCTGGTCATCCCTGTACTGTGTCCGCAGTCTCTGGTCATCCCTGTACTGTGTCCGCAGTCTCTGGTCATCCCTGTACTGTGTCCGCAGTCTCTGGTCATCCCTGTACTGTGTCCGCAGTCTCTGGTCATCCCTGTACTGTGTCCGCAGTCTCTGGTCATCTCCTGTACCGTGTCCGCAGTCTCTGGTCATCCCTGTACTGTGTCCGCAGTCTCTGGTCATCCCTGTACTGTGTCCGCAGTCTCTGGTCATCCCTGTACTGTGTCCGCAGTCTCTGGTCATCCCTGTACTGTGTCCGCAGTCTCTGGTCATCCCTGTACTGTGTCCGCAGTCTCTGGTCATCCCTGTACTGTGTCTGCAGTCTCTGGTCATCCCTGTACTGTTAATTAGTTTGCACTACTGTACGAGTTGTTTTTTCTAAACCAAAAGCTCGATATTCAGGTTTCATTGCAGTGTTGGCACTTTGAAAGAAATAAGTTGGTTTTGGGTTGCAGTTTGGGCACTCGGGCTCAAAAAGGTTCGCCATCACTGGTATAGGGGGTGTGTGCTATCCGACTGTTTTTATGTTGAATAAACTGTACTTTGTTTCTGCAAAACTGAAAATGTGGTGAAAAATGCATAGGTGTGAACCAGGTCTAAGATAAGTAAACATCTGCTTCCTTTACAGACTGCCTTTGCTTTAGATTTATCAGATCAATTCTTAATGGCACCTTCGAATATTTGAAAATGCTGCACATTTTCAGGTTTGTGAACCGCATAGCGCTGTGTGGCCGTGTTTCCCAAAAAGAGTTGGGGACTTTTTCCCTGTATCTCCTGCAGTTACAGCAGCCTATTCAAATGAATAGGATGCTCTGTCCACGCAAATGCATGTCACAAGACCCACACAAGTATTAACTCAGCTTTGCTGTCACCAAAACAGGTTAACCTCTTGCCCTCCAGAGGATTTACCCCCCTTCCTGATCAGGCCATTTTTTTGTGTTACGGCTCTGCATTACTTTAACTGACAATTGTGCGGTTATAAAACGCTGCACCCAAATGAAATTTACGTCTTTTTTCCCCACAAATAGAGCTTTCTTTAAGCGGTATTTGATCGCCTGTGCGGTTTTAATTTTTTGCACATAAAAAAAAAAGTCTGACAATTTTGAGAAAAAATATTTTTGACTTTTTGCTATTAAATATGTCCAGTAAAAAAGTTTCTAAAATCAAATTCCGTCATAGATTTAGGCCAAAATGTATTCTCTACATGTATTTGCTAAATAAAATCCCAGTCCGTTTAAATGAATTGGTTTACATGAAAGTTATAGCGTTTACAAATGGCGGTATATATACTGGGATTTTTTTTTCTTAATAGCAATGGCAGCGATCAGCGACTTATAGCGGGACTACAGGACTGCGATGGGCATTCTGACACTGGGGGGAACTGACTTGGTGTCACTGACACTGACAGTGACACCAATACAGTGATCAGTGCTATTAAAAAGCACTGACACTGTATTAATGGCACTGGGTTGGAAGGGGTTAACATGTGGGGTGAGAAAAGAGTTAACTGTGTGCTGTTTCACACCAAGCTGTGTGTGTGCTTTCAATTGTAAGCACACTGCTTTGTATGGCTGTGCTATGGAGAGCCATACAAAGCAGTGTGCTGAAGCTGACAGGGAAGAGATCTGCATTGTTTAAATACAGTTCTCTCCCCGTCGGTAATGCTCAGTGATCACCAGGTGCCGGCAAGTAATCATCGGCCAGGACCCGGTGATTGACAACCGAGACCGCAAATAGCGGCGCGGGTAGGGCGTGCGTGCAGCTCGCACGTGTGCCCTACCCGTGAATGCAAAATCACATATATACTGTATACACTCCGCTTTTACAGCTAAAGGGGGAATGGATGAGCAGCTGTAAAACATGTCTCAACACTGATTTTACCACCCCCAACCACTAGTGTAAACAAGGTGTTAGTGCTGCAATTGCTTTGCATATTGTCTTGGTTAAAATGATACTAAAGCGGAGTTCCAGCTGAAAACAAAATAAATAAAAGTCAGCAGCTACAAAAACTGTAAGTGTAAAATACAGTCACTTATCTGTCCCTCGGTCCAGCGGTGTCCTCACCACCGCTGGTTTCACCAGCCATCTTCTCTCCCTGGCGCTGGCATCTTCAGTGTGGGCACCCAGCTGTGACAGCTTGCGGCTTCACAGCTGGGTGCCCACTGCGCATGCGCGAGAATCACTGCCCAAGTGCCCAAGAAGACTATGGGGAGGGAGGGGGGACAACTTCTGCTTCCAATCGCCTAGGTGATCGCAGTGGAAGTGGGAGCGGATACCTGTCAGATTTGGGTACCCGCTCCCCTCCCACTCCCCAAAGGTGCCAATCCTTAATGGGGAGCGGGGGTCAAGTGCTTAAAGCGGAGTTCCACCCAAAAGGGGAAGTTCCGCTTTAAGGACTGCTCCCCCGCTCCCCATTAAGGATTGGCACGTCTGGGGGAGCGGGTACCCGAATTTGACAGGTACCTGCTCCCACTTCCGGTCCGATCGCCTAGGCGATCGAAAGCAGAAGGTGTCCTCCCTGTAGTCTTTTGGGACATGTGACAGGTCCCAGAAGGCTACAGGACCATTCATGAAGCGCATGCGCAGTGGGTACCCGGCTGTGAAGCCGCAAGCTATCACAGCCGGGTGCCCACACTGAAGATGCCGGCCTCCTGGAATAGAGGACGGCTGGTGAAACGGGCTGCGGGGGAACACACCGCGGGACCAAGGGACAGGTAAGTGGCTGTTTTTTAACCGTTTCAATACCGTGCAATTTTACACCTTCCTGCCCAGGCCAGTTTTCAGGGTTTTCAGCGCTCTCACACTTTGAATGACAATTGCGCGGTCATACAACATTGTACCCAAACTAAAATTTTATCATTTTCTTCACACAACTAGAGCTTTCTTTTGGTGGTATTTAATCACCGCTGGGGTTTTTATTTTTTTGCTAAATTAACAAACAAAGACAATTGTTCTTCATAAATTTAGGCCGAGATGTATTCTGCTACATGTCTTTGGTGAAAATAACCCAAATTAGGATGTATTATTTAGTTTGTAGGAAAGTTATAGAGTTCACAAACTATGGTATATATCTGAATATTGATCAATCCTGAAGTACTGACGGCCAATCTAATTTCTTGAGGTCCAAGAATGTCAGAACAGTACAGATATTCCCCAAATGACCCCTTTTTGCAGAGTAGACAGTCCGACGTACTTCATAAGAGGCATGGCGAGTTTTTTGAAGTTGTATTTTTTTGTCATAATTTTTCGGAAAATGAAAAAAATTAAAAAAATTATTTTCACTATTTTTTTTTTTACATACTGTCACCAGTGCAGTACAGCGTCATCATATAACTGGCGTGGCGGTGAACAGGGACACTGACTGGTGACAGTATGAAAAAAAAAATATATATATATATATTTTTTTTTTTTTTTATTATATTTAATTTTTTATTACATTTTTTTTAAATTTTTTTTAAGATTTTTTTTTCATATTTTACTTTGACCAAAGTAGTGCAATGTTACCATAGTAACATTGTACTACTTTGGGAAAGTGATCAGTTTTTTTTTTTTTTTTTTTTTTTTTTTTACACAATTTGCTTATAGCAAAGAATTACTTTGCTATAAGCAAGCATTTACCTGAATGAAATCGATTCATTCAGCTTTTTTTTTTTTTTTTGTGCTTAGCTGTGATTTGGTCACAGCTAATCACATGACATGTGCATGTGATTAGCTGTGACCATTCACAGCTAGGCACTAGTATACGATGGATGGCATCATGAATGAAGCCATCCATTGTATACAACTGTCATGTGACCTGCTGTGATTGGTCACAGCAGGTCACATGGTACCAGCAACGGGAGCCGGTACTCGGATCTGTCATCGGCCGTGTCCGAGGTGCACGGCCGCTGACAGATCGCACTGCTGCGCCGCTCTGCATTAGCGCAAACGGCGCATGTGCGGGAGCACGCCAAATGGCGTGCACCCGGAATGCAGGGACACAATTGAAGCCGCCAAACGGCCATTGGCTGGCGGCTAATGATTAAAAGTCAGCAGCTACAGTTTTTGTAGCTGCTGACTCTTATTTTTTGACAGGGTGAGTGGAAACTCTGCTTTAAAGTAGAACTTTCCCTTTTGGGTGGAGCTCCGCTTTCGAGGCTAATGTTTTGTTTTAATAAAATAAAAAAAGGAGGTTATACCTACCTGCTCTGTGCAATAATGTAGTACAAAGCAGTCCCTTATCTCTTCTTTGGCAGTTCCCTGCCAGCGCCTCTTCCTGCAGGTGCCTGCATAGCAAGCTATGGGGGCACCCATGCAGGCGCACTCCTGAACTGTTAAACCCCGCCCTCTGATACCTTCTGACGCTGCTCTCAGAGTCTCCTGTGGGACCAGGAAGTCAGTGGCGCAATGCTGCAGATGGGACAGCACTAGATCAGTGAGAGGAGGAAGGTAAGTATTTATGGAGGAAGGGGGGAAGAAAGAAACATGTAGTGGGCCATTTTTCACCTTAATGCTGGATTGCATTAAGGTAAAAAAAAGGTCAGGCCCCTTTCCAACAGGCGGTCCAATCATGTCCGCCTGTCCATTTTTCAGATTGGCTTAACCACACCATCCATTCTCTTCTATAGTCGGATGTAAACGGACTTGTGTCAACAAATGCAAAGGGGAACCGTTTCCCTGTCTCGGCAGATTGGAGGGCACTTGGGTGTAAACAGGGGCGGACTGACCATTCGGGTACTCGGGCATTGCCCGAGGGCCCGGGGTCAGTAGGGGGCCCCATAAGATTCCCCTGGTACCTTTCATAGGCTTTTTTGGGTGCGGTTTGAGTGTGGGTGAGGACACAGGGGCCCCATGATCCCCTTTTTCCTGGGGGCCCCATGAGTTGTCAGTCCGCCCCGGGTGTAAACAGACAGCTGGTCCATTGACATCCGACTGCCCACAGTAAAGAGCGGGCTGTGTCTGTTTCCATTCTGCATAAGCGGAGCGCACACAGACCTATCATCCGCCTGCTCAGCGGGGGATCAGTGGACAGATTCCCTGCTGAGCAAGTGGATCGCAGACGGAGTCTGCCCTGTGTGAAAGGGGCCTTATACTTTAGCACCACTTTAAGTTCCATGATGCTAAATTACACATTAGCTACACAGTACGGTCATTATTGGTTGATCAATCACATGAGACTAGTGTATATAATAAAAATCTTTATTTGTACATTTATTGACTGGTCTTTTCAAGGCAGTGCATTTGCATTAATTTTGATGAAATATTTATTTTTCTTTCCAGCCATGGGAGATGACAGTCCTTCAAGTGTACTGAACAAATATGGTCTTCATGCAATGGAAGGTAAAGCATCTTTCAGGGCAGATGAGTTCATTGTTTTAGTCCAGCAGTAGAAAGGTAGGTTGTGATATCTGGAATCTAGTGAACTGTGTTTTTATTACAAATGTTGGCAAGCAGAACAACAGTTGTTTCCAAGAATGAAGAATAATTTAAGATTCAGAAGTTTTGAAAAGGACCCAAAACAGACCAGACAATTGGATTAGAATAGCCTGAGATTTTTGATAACATACCTGGAGATAAAGAAAAAAAAAATATCTGTGATACAACGGGTATGTTTTACTGTAAGTATAATACTATAATACCTCATTTGGTACATTTGAAGGAGATGTATGCAGCATGCATTTTCATGTTATAGCATCAGCATTGTGATAACAATACAAGCATCAGTTATTTTTGACATTCCATTATAAGAACACTTAAAAAAAAACTCCTTTCATGTGGTGAATTCTGCCTGTCTCCTTGCCATCGCTTTCCACAACTTCCTGCATTCTTTGCCACTTCTCTGCTGTTTACTTTCAATTTCTAAGGACTGCATATCCCATGGTACCTTGGTGCCTAAATTCTGTACTGACTACGCCTCCTGAAACTCCTCCTCTCAGCATCTCCGTAGTTCAGAAGGCAGGCTCTGTGAAATGTGGGACACGGCAATGCCTACTCACAGGGAATAGTGAATACATGTCACAGGATTCAAGGAAGTAAATGTGTGGGGATCTTCACAAAGTGAGTATACAAACTTCAAGATCCTTCAGATTAATAGGAATAGGCTAGAAATAATTGAAATACAATAGAAATGAATCTATGATTTTACATTTTTGCCCATAGATACAGTTTTCGGGTAAAAGCAGCCTCAGCTCAATTCATCCATACCATGTCTCCAACATGTTTTTCCCCTCCCTCGGGGCTTAATCATGGGGGGCAAGTCCAGGCAGGACCTGCCCCACATGATTAAGCCCCAGGGGTGGAGCAAAACATGTTGGAGACATGGTCTGGATGAATCGAACTGAGGCTGCTTTTACCTGCTTACCACTTAGGCCAGGTGAGGTGTGCAGCGGCCGGGCTATCTCTTTATATTTTTGTAGTATGGTATGCTGCTCTGTTGTATCCTACTTCAAAAACCAGGTTCTTTACAGTCAAAACCACTTTTCTACTGGAAGTGATAAAACAGTGATTGACATTGGTTTTTGTTTCTGGTGTACGTATATATTTTTTTTAGGGAAATCTTTTCATAAGTGATATATATATATATATATATATATATATATATATATATATATATATGTGCACATTATATTTATGTCTGTCTCTTTATTTCTCCCTCTCTCTCCAATCCCAATACAGTATATATATATATATATATATATATATATATACTGTATACACACTATATTGCCAAAAGTATTGGGACACCCCTCCAAATCATTGGATTTACATGACCACAGGTGTATAAAATCAAGCACCTAGGCATGCAGACTGCTTCTACAAACATTTGCTAAAGAATGGGTCATTCTCAGGAGCTCAGTGAATTTAAGCGTGGTACCGTGATAGGTTGCCACCTGTGCAATAAGTCCATCCGTGAAATTTCCTTGCTACTAAATATTCCATGAACAATGGTTAGTGGTATTATAACAAAGTGGAAGCAACTGGGAACAGCAACTCAGCCACAAAGTGGTATGTTACGTAAAATGCAGGTTCAGCGCTGCTGAAGCTCACAGTGCGCAGAAGTCCCCAACTGTCTGCAGAGTCATTAGCTACAGACCTCAAAACTTGGTGTGGCCTTCAGATTAGCACAACAACAGTGTGTAGAGAGCTTCATGGAATGGGCAGCTGCATCCAAGCCTTACATCATCAAGTGCAATGCAAAGTGTCAGATGCAGTGGTGTAAAGCACGCCACCACTGGACTCTAGAGCAGTGGAGACGTGTTCTCTGGAGTGACGAATCCGATGAACGTTTCAGGGTTTGGCAGTTGCCAAGAGAACAGTACTTGTCTGATTGCATTCTGCCAAGTGTAAAGTTTGGTGGAGGGGGGATTATGGTGTGGAGTTGTCTTTCAGGGGTTGGGCTTGGCCCCTTAGTTCCAGTGAAGGGAACTCTTAAGGCGTGAGCATACCAAGATATTTTGGACAATTTCATGCTCCCAACTTTGTGAGAACAGTTTGGGAATGGCCCCTTACTGTTCCAACATGACTGCGCACTAGTGCACTAAGCAAGGTCCATAAAGACATGGGTGAGTTTGGGGTGGAGGAACTTGACTGGGCTGCACAGAGCCTTGACCTCAACCCAATAGAACACCTTTGGGATGAATTAGAGGGGAGACTGCAAGCCAGGCCTTCTCGTCCGATATCAGTGCCTGACTTCACAAATGGGATGCCATTAAAGTTAATGTGCATGTAAAAGCAGGCATCCCAATACTTTTGGCAATACAGTGTATATATAAATAAATATATATATATGTATATATATATATATTGTGACAGTATGAAACGCAAGGTGATTGATGGACGTTATGGGGTTTATTTACTACAGCTGCTTCACTCAGAATCGCGTCCACTTCTGCATAGAAACCAATCAGCTTACAGGTTTTATTTCTAAAGCTTAATTGAACAAGCTAAGATTAGAAGCTGATTGGCTACCATGCACAGCTGCAACAAATTCTGAGTGAACCAGCTTTAGTAAATAAACCCCCATGTGTCACCTTGCATGCGGTCATATCTGGGAGCTTAAGGTGGAGCCCAGTCCGGGTTTTCCAGGCCACTATGGCAGAGACAGTTCCGGACCTGATTTTGTGGTCCACTGATGACCACCAGCAGGTGGTATAAAGCAGGTAGGACTGGATCAAGAAGTTGCTCTTGGCCTGAGAGTCATATCTGAGTGAGCTGTGGATGAAAGTTTGTGTTATACAAGCAAGGAAAAGGTTTGCATACTGGTTTCATTTTTGTTGGTGACAGGGAGAAGCCCTTCACATTTGAGAGAGGAATCTTATGTGTTTAGTTAGTGCCTGGATGGCGAGGATTTATTTTTGATTTTGTTTGTTTTGATGCTTGCAACCTTGTACATAAAACTGACCACAAGTCAGATTTTAAGAAAGCCCTGCTGTTTGGACTACCTTTTTTTTTTTCCCCAGGGAAGGTGATCCCCCAACTGGGCTACCCCCCACAATACATATATATATATATATATATATAATACCTAAAACATGGAGCAGATGGAGCTGTACACATGGCAGCATTAGTGCTGCCAC